ATGACAGAACTTAACTCATTCTAGGAAGGCTTGCCTCTGCCCCACGAAACTAAGAAAAGACCTCCTCAACAAACATGGTACTTATCACCTGGAGAACATGGAGGAAAATGAAGAGGAAAGGGACGTGTGGAAATCAATTTGCAGGAATCCAATGTCCAGGAACCTAACTAGGTACAAATGGTGTCACTGCCAAGTATAACTACTTATGACTTAGTATGACTATGTGTTGTTATTTTGGTAATTATCTCTGCCAGGTATAACTATGTATGACTGTGTATGACTGTGTTTTGTTATTTTTTGGTAATTCTCTCTGCTAGGTATAACTACGTATAACTGAGTATGACTATGTATGAGTTGTATGACTGTATGACTGAATATGACTGTGTTCAAATATTTTGTCTCCTTTTCAAATTTCGTTTTGTTTCCTTACTATGTCCATTTATGTACCTAGGACTGTGTCTACTTGATACTTAGGTAGCACTGGAAACATACGAATAATTTCAAAGAATTTAGAGCAAAACATATTTTTTTACTAAAACTATATCTTATACATATGGTTCATGAATGAGTTACTAGCCACTTTTTAATGTGAAACATCCGATTATGGTGTTGTCGGACAATTTAGTACACGAAATGATAGGAAATATATTTAAAGTGATCAATTGGGTTAATACTATTAGAAAAGTTATAATCTTATGTACTTACWACTGGTTYTWCGTGAWAACAYTKGAAATATAACTATGTGCAAGCCAGTACTACTCGAAAACTAAGTATAACTATGAGTAAAGTAAATATTATTTTTAATTAGTTTAGCGGCGCATGTGTTAAATGTTTTTTATATTTTTATTAAAAAATTATTGATGAAAAATGTGATACACATGTTTTGCTAATCTTAATAGTTGCATAATACACTGTAGTACCCAGTATTACTCGTAGTACACAGTAGTACCCAGTATTACTAGTAATACCAAATCCAAAACATAATAAAATATGAGTTTTACTTTCCTTAAATCCCTCCAACACATAAGTACCTAAAAACC